CTATTAATCGATCGTAATTTTCATTTTTACATTATTTTGGGCGACAAGCGGCAGGTCCTGTCTCTTATACACATCTAGATGTGTATAAGAGACAGGCACTATAGACCCTGATTGTTTTACTTAGGGTCTCCTGCATTATTGCATTTCCTATCCGATATTTTTGAAAATTTATTGCAATAGCCATTCTTTTTTTTTTTCAAAAGTTTTTTGAGAAGCCAAATGAAACCAGAATAGATATCACATATAATATGTTAGCTTGGGACCAATTGTATCTGTCTCTTATACACATCTAGATGTGTATAAGAGACAGGCCCTGCACGTAGCTGTGATACACGGCAACGAGGCCGCCGTACACCAACTTGTCAGGGCGGGCGCTTGTCCGCACCTCTGTGAGAGACGTCGGGGCGCTAACTCCCTGCACCTCGCTGCCCAACACCACCGACACAATATTGCCAGATACCTCATCCAAAACGTAAATGTTTCATATTAAAATTTATTTGTAACTTACTCATCCAAAACGTAAATTTTACATATTAAAATATATCTGTAACTTACTCATCCAAAACGTAAATGTTTCATATTAAAATATATTTGTAACTTATGAACAAAATCTACTACCTTGATTTTTTTTCAGTCAAAGATAATGTTTTCTTCAGTCAAAGAATCTTCCTTAACTCTTTTTCGAGTGTAAGATTGCTTCATATGTTCAAGTAAAATAGAATAATTCTGTTGAAAAGTTAAGTATTTCATGAATTATGTACTTATTTCGACAGACCGCAATCACAGTGAATGCTCGTATGTTTGACGGTAACACCGCGCTCCACGTTGCTGTTCAAGAGGAAGACCTTCTCATGTGCCGCTTGCTGATGGAGGCCGGGGTGAGCTACGCTGATCATTTAGTTTGGTCGTGCACATTTTCCTGTTTTTAACCTAATAAATATACAATTATTAGATCAGAATTATATTCTTTTTGGGAATAAAATTGACTTCTAAAGACTGGATTTACGCAGTAAAATATATAACTTTCAAGGCGAAAATTTCTGTAATGCAATTATGAGCGTAATTATAAATGTGCACTAATGCAAAATTACCTCAGTTGTCCTGATAAAATTAAAAACAAGAGCGTTCAGTAGCAGTTTGAACCTTCACCTGTTTTAAACCGTTCCTGCAAAGAGACAGAGATTATTTATTCTTCCACAGCACTAATGAATGCTAAGGGACGTTTTATTTAATGATAAATAATTATTAGTTATTCATCAGTCATGCAAATCAGTGTTTAAAGTTTTCATTAGGCACAGGAAGGAATAATTTAAAGCATATTATTGCCATTTTTGCTCGCCAGGCTGATCCATCGGTGAAGAACGATCTCAAAATTCGACGACAACGTTTGTCGGGCGAGTCGCAGGACGCCGCTGGCGACAAAACTGACGACGAAGACAACGACCATGAAAATGATCAGGAAGATGACGATGAAGTTGTTGAAGCAAACTGTTACACTCCTGCTGATTATGCAGATGGAAATTACGAGGTAACTATTTCGCTTTGAACATCATTTGTGGTTCACTAAATAACAAAATTCGAAAACCTTGAGATGTAGATGAATTTTTCTTATGTCTTTACATCATGATCACGGCTTACGTAAAGTTATCCATCTCAGTTTTTTCCATCTCAGTTTTTTTTTTGGTCAACTAAGTTGTGCTGCAATTTAGTTTAAATAACGATGCAGGAACTTTGCACGTTGCCTCTCAACAAAGGATTGTTAGTTCAGGTTAGCTTCCATCAAGCATAACTTATTTCTCAATCGTTTATGCAGATTTTGGAGATACTGAAAGGTAATGGCCAGCCTCTGGAATTTGCTGCAACGAAGACCAACTCCTCCCACTCGAACAGCAGCAACTACTGCGACTCTGGCATTGATGTTTCCCTAGCAGATTTTAGTTCGAGTTCGGCTGTTTGAAAATTTTTGTCCTGGGAGGAGGCATACTGTAGTGTGATAATGTTGTGTATAACTCGGAGAGTCTGCCAAGCCGTACTTTAAGCTCGTTATTATATAGAAATTAATTTCCCTCACTAATTTATGATGAAAACTATTAGAGGTAGGAACACTGATTACGATCTTACTTGATGATTCTGACCCTAACCACGTATGCCCGAATAAAATTCAAATAAGGTAGTGAAGTTCGTTCATATATGTAAATTACAATTTAAAGGAACGTGCTCAGTAGACCAAGCACGTGTTCTAAATTGAATTTGGACACAACACGCCACTGACCGTTTCGAGATTTCAAGTTACAAGGCTTCCAGTGCGCAGGCCATTCAATCTCTCGTCTGGTCCGAGGATCCTCGAAGTTGCCTAACGCACTAGTAAGTTTACCGACACAATGTACTGAGGAACATTTTGTCATAATTTACTTTATGTGTGTAAAACACTTACGTGTGTAAAGCACACAGGATCATAACTGCGGTGCTGCTCAAGGAGTGGTAAGACGTGAGGCTGGCTGACCGTGAGCTATCTGAAGTACAATTCGCGATTGATTACGTCGACAGAGTGGATGTGAGTGCTACATCGATAATGCGACTATACAATTTTGAAGACAAAACAGTTTTTTTGCTTATAAATCTTTTACTGTAGCTATCTTTGGAATTTTATAATAATGTTGTTTCAATTAAATTGACTCTAAAATTTTACAATAATTGAATGGAATTTGTTGTTGGCTGATCGATGCTAATTTTGTCAAACAGTACGAAGTCTGTCACACTTTTTTGTGTTTTTCATTGAAAAGTTTTGCATCGAACCATTACTTGATCTTAGCCGACCCATTAATATGGGTTTGACTACCATTAGCTATAAGTTTCCATTCCAAGCGCGAGTAACCGCGAACGCGGCAGTGTCGATTCTCCCATCTAAACATTATTTGTAAGTAATTTACTGATGGTTTTACTGAGAAGTAGTATTGTGGAAGAAATCCTGACTCATAATTCTGTAAAATATTATAATGATTAAGCTCAGGTCGAGGATTGGCTCGGATTTTGGATGTCCTTTATAGAAAATATCTAATAACAACATAATCTTGTAAATTATTCGTCCACTAATATTCAAGTTGTGTTCTCGCATGTATTGTGGTGTATTATTTTATACAACTCTTATTCGCCTGTATTGAACATGTTGGTGCTCTGCAAATAATTTCTTGTAAATTGTGTTGTTGCCCAACATTTTTTCGCTCTTTAATGATGTAATATGCTGGGGTGCGTGAAGAACTGACAGAACTTTATTAGGATTTTTTGTCGTTCTCACGCGTGTTTTGACACCTTAAACTACACTAATAATATGATCTACAAATGTGAGTAGAAAATATTCAAAAGTTGTTTGGTGATGTTGATTTAAAAACGGATTGTGCTGTAGTTTATTCTCAGATAAACGTGTTGAGTACTAAATGATCTTTACTGATAAGTTATGTATACTTAAGTTTTCTGACATCTTTTAGCGATATAAGTTCGAACTTGGGGTTTGAGATGTACTTCGTAAAAATTAATTGTACTTTGTAAAAATAAAAATTTTGTTTAATCAGCCCATACTTATTGTGGTACTGGGCAATGGAGATTGAATTGGTATTAGAGGGAAAGACAAAGTAAAGTTCATTATTTGTTCTTGTACAACAAATGCATTCAGTTTAAAAAGATTCGCCATTAAAATGACACGTATTCTTCAGAATGCATTTAATTCACTCACGGGCCTCCTACATTAATGAAATATAATCGTTAATTTGATATACCTTTGCGTATTAGCTTACATTATATTTTTTAGTGTTGATTTCTTGCAAACTTTTTAAGAGTGCAAACTTTAAATCATGGCTGAACTAAAAAATATAATTCAACCATGTTTTACTGGCTTCTTTGCCACTATTACGGTGGGGTTTTCACAAGGATTCCTATTGAGAGCTTATTATGTTCATAGCTTTTTCCTGTCTGCTCTCAGGGCAGACATTAAATAATTTTTATAGTGTTTTTTTAATGCATTACTTTCATAATTTTTGTTGTCTCTTTATTTTATATGATCTCTTTATTGTTCTTTTACGTTTTTTGGCAAAGGGATTTATGTGGTTGGTAATTTTTCGTTGATTGTTGCGGGTTTTTATAATGAATTGAATCTTGTGCATGAGATAATTGTTAAAATTGTATTGCTGAAAGGAAGCCTTGTCATCGGCAATTGAATACATTTCAGTGAGATTCGTGCCCATGATTTTGTATTTTAATAATTGTGTATATGATAAAAATATATCTTGTATGCATTTTTAATAAATTTTCTTTTACTTCTTGTCTCTCAAACATCCATATCTTCATTATCTGTGAATGTGATTTGATTAACTATATTGACATATGACTGATATGAGCGAACCCAGGTCGAACGGGGCAGTTTACCGCAATTAGTGTGTCAATTTAAAATCACTCTTGACACTACCTTAAAATACTTTTATTTGCTTAACGCCGTGCAATGTATTGTTAAGATTTGTTTTACCTTATAAGTAATGTAAGGAGCTTGCTTGAACTCATATCAACATCCCGCTCGTACTGACGCTGAGTGACTTTTTTTATCTCGACGCAATTCAAAAGTGACACCGCCCCGAGATGGAACACGCAGGGCCTAGGTCATTTTCTTGCGAACTCCTGAATATATATTCATAAAACTTTGTGCAGTAATTCATGTCAATATTAAGGTCGTGTTAGTGCGTGAGAGTGATTCCGGTTTTATTCGCCCAAACGGGTCATTAATCAGAACCCATCGGACATATCCGCGACCGATGTCCCAATACGTGACAGACTATAGCTCACGAACTACTGGACAGCCGATACTAAAATTTGCATAATAATTTCTTGAAGCCTTCGGCGGGCATTTTTTGGGTCACATGATTTTTCTTTCCAACTTCCAACCAAAATTGTACAGCATCTCGGACAGCTTATGGTAGCTACCTGAAGGAATGGTAGTAGGGCAGTTACTTGAAAAAGAAAACAAAGTACTTATTTACCTTGAATTAATATCAGAGTAAATTATCATAGACTCTATTGCCAAGTCCACGTCACTCGATTGGTCCGCAGAGAAAAATATGATCGATCACTTAGGTAGTTGGTCTGACCTGGTTTCATCGAAACCAGTTCGGTGATTAGGGATATGATTCATGGTCACTTGGACCAATAATTCACGAATTGGAAACGGTTGCTCGTCAAATACTTGGGCGGCTCACTAAGACCAAGAATTAACGAATTAGAAACGATGGCTCGTCAAATACTTGGGCGACCGAGTGGAAAACTGGGAGCAAAGATTTTGATGGTCTGCTCGTATGCCTGAAATATAAAAATTTTTCATGAACTAAAAACGAAATCGGCCACAGAAATGCCGATCGTTTCTCCGCGTACCTAGCCGAATAACTAGCAAACGGCGGCGACTTCGGAACAGTGGTCACGACTTAAACCTCATCGTTAGGTTCTATTTAACAAGTAGGCGATGCAAATTTAATTGAGTTGCATTCGCTAGTTTTGGACATATTCTAATCACACGAACGTAGGAGAACGGACTTGTGTCCGGCTGTAAAGTCTTCGTGAGGGGTTTAGTTGATAGGTCAATTAGTACCTAGTTAATTTACTACTATCTGAATATTCACATATATAGCTAGGTTCAACTTGGTGCAAGATTTTTGAAAATTATAGAATACAGCATTCAATAATAATAATTCATAACAATAATATTGATTAAACCTAATTAACTAGCTAAAAATTATTCCGGCATTGAGGATTGAAGCTATACCTATTTTCTCAATTTACGGAACACATGTTGAGCTCAGAGCAAAAAGTTCACTTAACATAACATAGTGATGTGATGTCGGCGCTGAAGTGTGGGCCTGATGTGGCCTACTTCGCGTGCTTTTTCTTCAAGTCGTTCCTATTAGGTCATATTGTTGTGCTGCTAGAACGATGTCTTCTTGTTGTGCTGCTAAAAGTAGCGTACCAGAAAAGTGTGACTATGTATATGTAAAGTTCAACTTGTAAACTAAAAAAAATAGATACGATGCTTACTGCTTGTCAAGTTGTCAGCAATGAAATTATGAATTCTAATTCGAGCTTTTTCACTTATTAAAAATTTTGAATGAGTGGTTAAATAAATAATTTCCATTCAAACATGTTGTTATGAACATCAACACTGCTGTTCGAGTTTGGTAGCTTGGTAGACTCTTTCTATCATCTTGCTTTACTCAGTTTACTGGCTGCTTAGCTAATTTGGTGCTTTTGGCTTAGGCTTTGGGGCCTTGGGCCATGGGTTGGAGAAATCAGAATTTTCTTCAGAATGAATCTAAATTGGAAAATTGGACAGAAGGCACCCAACAGTGCCACTATGCAGAGAGTGGATGAATATTGCAAGATCTTTGGCGATGCTTCAGTAGCAAAATTTACGCCTTCAGAAGATCTTGCCGACACATTTAGATTGAAATTCTTGCATTTAATATATTTGTCAATCAGGTTGGCCAACTATTTAAAAAAAGTAAGACACACGTTTTTTTGGGGTGAGCCATAATTTATTTTCTACTTTTTAGACCACAAGAAAAACGTGTTTTTTAAAAAGTTTTTTTTCAAGTATTTTATTTTTTCCTTATTAGTCCGTTGCTAAAAATTTGCGCCTTCAGAAGATCTTGCCGACACATTTAGATTGAAATTCTTGCATTTAATATATTTGTCGGTCAGGTCCCAGGTTTCATAGTGTGGCATAAGAGTCGTTGTAATAGTATCTCAGGGGTCATCTGGTCGTTGAAAATCCACATGCCACTCGTTGGTTGGTAGGTTTTCCAGTCGTTGGTCGGTAGGTTTTCCAGTCGTTGGTCGGTAGGTTTTCCAGTCGTTGGTCGGTAGGTTTCTTAGTAGCTAGTTTGGTCACAGGTCACTTAACAACGAAAAAATCATCGTTAATAAGAAGATTAGTACCCGATCTTTCCATAGCTGACGATTGATTGAGATAGCTGCTGGACTGATTGCCTGGTCCGTCAGTTCTAACTTGCTTGTATTATTTGCCATTCAGTCAGATGAAGTGCACATATCATACATGTTCATTTCCATTATTCTCTCGAATTCTATATGCAAAATGCATTTTATATTCTTAACCAATGTTTTGATCACTTATCCCGTGTCTGCTGTTGCTAGTGCTATAAAAATGTTATTAGTACCTTAATGGTTCGTAACTTAAGTTAACATCAATGATCAGAGTCAATGCGGCAAAGTTTAGCGATACATGACAGTTATACTTTATACTTGACACTTCAAGTCTTGGTGATCAGATTTATGCAATGCAAACTTTAGCTGCACATAACAGTTATACTTGACCCTTCAAGTCTTGCTCTCATAATACTAAATTTATTTCATTGTCTGGCAGGTGTAAGCCTCAAGTCGCGGTCAGTGGACGTGGCGTTCCGTGTGGCCGTGAGCGCCGCTGAGAGCCTGCAGGCGTACGCGGCCACGGGCGATCTGGCCAGGCTGCTGGCGACGCACCGCTACCNTTTAATGCACGTCATCCTCGAGAGGATATTCGTGTTTAGACTGCGTATATCGATGATACGCTGCGTATCATCGATACGTACGTCAAGTCAAGTAAATTGGCTCGCAACAACGTTTTTCACGTGTAGCAACGGACTAAAAAGGAGAAAATAAAATACCTGTACTTAAAAAACTTTTTAAAAAACCATGTTTTTCTTGTGGACTAAAAAGTAGAAAATAAATTATGGCTAGCCCCAAAAAACGTGGGTCGGGCTGTACGTTCACCATAAAATTTCCAAAATTCGTGTGTTGTGTGCCTTTTGCTTTAATCATAAATCTGCCCAACACATGTTTTTTGTGGGGAGCCATAATTTATTTTCTACTTTTTAGTCCACAAGGAAAATGTGTTTTTTAAATTTTTTTTAAGTATTTTATTTTTTAAAAAACGTGGGTCGGGCTGTATGTTCACCATCAAATTTCCAAAATTTGTGTGTTATGTGCTTTTTGCTTTAATCATAAATCTGCCCAACACATGTTTTTTGGGGTGAGCCATAATTTATTTTTCCAATATTTTCAGTTAAAATAAAAAGAAATATATTGTCTATTTTTACCCAGCAATATATATGAAAATCACTGTGAAACAATAATTTTTCCTTCTAAATTTAGGGAATTTCTGTCCAATATTCCAAATTAGGAATGCTTGTATATCAAAATATTTTACTACCACAGTTCCACTCTAGGTAGTAGGGAAAGGTCTTGCTTTTTTCTGAAATATTGCAGCTCTAATATCATATAATTTCAGTAAGTTAGGAATCTCGTAGCTCTATTGTCATGTATTTTTGTTTGATTGAAAAAATCATGGCTTGCACTTAGCGAAACCCAGGCTGTAGAGTAGGGCCTTTTAGCCTGAGATATTGGCGTCTTTTGAAAATCTTTATCAGCCATCTTGACCTTACATCGGCGTCCCGTCACAATTGCTGCGGCCTGAAAGGTACGGCGCAAGTGTCAGAGGCCCATTTTGGGATGTATGCCAGCACACTAGGAAAGAAAATTGCCAGTACGTTTGCTAGAAAAACAAAAGTGCATCTCTGACTGCAAAACGTGTTGTTTTATAAAATGTTCAACTTCCGCTGCTTTTCCCCAATCTGCAGTAGGTACTTCACTGCTACAGCCAAAATATCCTGCAGAATGTAACAATAAGAAGTAAACCCAAAATATTTTGTTGAAGATTACATAGTTGCAGTCATGTCCAAGCAGTCAGACTGCATTATGATTTTCCACTAGTATATTGATTTGACCATACAATTTTATTATGAATCAATTTCTTTCCGCTGGTTCCAAATGGAACCGCTCGGCATTAATGGGTTAAATGGCTTTTCATTAAAAATTACCCGGCGACGCATCTTAAAATTACCTGGCAATGCTTAGGGCTTAAAAACCCATATATTGGCAACGCTGCATCCACCCTCTGCGGCCTGCGCCCTGGCCCAACACCTGTGAATTGGACAAAAATGCCCACAAATCTGGCTATTTTCACCCATTTGTATGGCTTTTTAACTCGTTTTTCTTTACTCAGCTTCGCGTTTGTTTGTTTTTTGTTAACATTTACAACAAAAATTAACCCAGTGCCCACTTCTGATTGCTCTAGAGATCTGAAATTCAGCATGCAGGCTATTTTCACCTAACAATTTCAGATACAATCATAATAATTAAAAACTAGCAATTAGCGACCTAAATTAGCTTAATTGAGTAAAGTATACATATATATAGTATATATATAGTATGACGTGCGGGCGCTGACGTTATAGACGAGCAGGCGCTGATGCTGCGTAGTGCGTATCATCGATATGTACGTCAAGTCATACTTAATCAAGTCTTAAATCGTTTTTCTTGTGGACTAAAAAGTAGAAAATAAAATACTCCTGCAGAATGTAACAATAAGAAGTAAACCCAAAATATTTTGTTGAAGATTACATAGTTGCAGTCATGTCCAAGCAGTCAGACTGCATTATGATTATCACATGTTCAGTGGCCACTAAAGTTAAGACAATTGATGTTTGACTCTTTTTAGGGTAAAATTAGAGTTTGAGGCAACAAGTGCACCTGACTGTGTAGATAAGTTTGCAGCTCGTAAATGGCTCTTCATGGCCAAGATTTGGAACTCACGACTCATAGAAATGGAATCACAGCTGGCAAATCCATAAAACCATGGCTCAAAAAATCCAGTCGTGGCTCACCAAGTAGATATATTTCATGCCTGGTTCCACTTATGTTTTGAAATACATAATCTATTTATGTACTGTAATGGTTTACGTAGCTTGATTTGCCAGCAAATCCTAAATCCATTGGCAATATTTTGTATCTAGAAACCTGATTTTGGTGATGCAACTGCCAAATAATGCCCTTTTTTGGCACTAGGCTAGACTGTAAAGTTTGGCCTTTTAGTATTGGCATCTTCCAAGCTCTCTATAGTCTGTCCCTAACTATAAATAAGCCACATGTGACTTGGATAGACATGCCTGTCAATCTGGCAAAATTCATTACTTCTTACCGCCCTTTCCTAATTTCTTCACTAAGGAAACACTGCCATGTTTGGAAAAAACTAGTATATATATATACATCTTTGCTAATGAGTGGATAAGCTTTTTGAATATTCTTAAGTCCTAACATCAGCTGATACTAACAATATTAATTTGAAATTGTCTGGGTTGTTAGTATATTGATTTTTTGTATGAATTACTACTTCTGGGCCGTATTTCATCATTCTGATGATGTGATTTATTGAGAAAATGTCTCCAACAAACCTAAATGGTGAAATGTATCAACTTATTTGCAGTGTAGATTCTTTGAAATTTTGACAATAGCTTTAAAGAAATACATTAATACAGCAACACATTGCTTATCAATCAGGAAATTTGTCAGGATCTATTTAGTTTACCAAAGAATTATATTTTACATCACCAGGCTACTGGGAGACTTCAAATCAAAGATGGAGTTCCGTGGGTTTCGAAGTAAGTTTGTATCATATTGCCATGAAAATAACTAATATAAGAAGAAAAGATTAAAATTTAGTTAAAATTGTTTTCTGAATTTGATTTTTGATGTTGGAAAATGTTGTTTTTGTGAGACATGCTAAATTTTCTTAGCCTTTTCTTTGTTTTTCAATTCTTAGCAATTTAGTTGTCATATTTTCATTGGCACTGCAAAAATCTATCCAAAAATTTCAATATTTTATTGTGTTCTGGTTGACTAGAGAATGGTGTTGCCTTGCTAATAAGTGTTTTTATGGAGCTATAGACTTGAGAGCTTACACTTGTTATTCACATTGCAATCTGGCTACTTTGATAACAAATTATTTTAGGCATTTCAGAAATTTATCATTTGTATTTGTTGATCAATGTTAAGAAATAATATTTTACTACTTAATTCAATGGTTTGTGCTTGAGAGGCCAATGCTTCAATATAAAAATGTTCAGAATGTTTTTTAGCTTTGCACTTTTGAATTTTTGGTTCATGTTCCCCGAAGTTGGTGATTTTTGGCTTTATTTATTTTTCTGTATGTATGTTCTTGGCTTTCCAAAGTATCATTTGTGCAGTTCATTATGTGCGCCTCACACCATCTGCAACTGAGTCTGAGCAAATCTGGTGGAGGCAGCACAAGGTTAAATCATCTGAAGAAACCCGTCCAACTGCAAGGACTCTTTATATTCAGCTCCTACCTACATTCCTGAAAGTTGAAGTGAGTGCAATAGAGATGTTATGGCCATTTGGAGAGTCAGCTTGTATTGAAAAGAGCTTTGACAGACTAATATATTTAGTACTGCACCTCTGTTGTTGGTATAAAATTTCAGAGTACTATTCACTTCCTTTGAAGTTATTGGTTCTTAAATTTTTTCATCTTGGTGTAAACATAACTTCAATTGTTGCTCTGGTTCTAATGCACTGTTATTTTCTTCCATTTGAACTGTTTGAGACAGCACTGTATATTCTTTGTGATTATAAATCAAATAATATTTTCATCTCTAACCCTAATCTTGATGATTTTTATACCTCCATATTAAGCTAGGTTACCTAACTGCAAAGTTTCTATTTCCAGGAAAACCTCCGTTTAATGTTGTCAAAATATGGTGAAGTTGATGCAGTTTTCTATCAAGAGCATCCTGACAGACAGGCAATAAACAGTGCCTGGGTCCGACCATCGCTTTTTGCAGTATGTGTACAAATTAATGCATGTTTAGTTTTTGTGGTACCTAAACATAATATCCCATATTGATCAGTTGTTTTGTTTTTAGACAGGAACCTCCTTTCTATGAAAATAACATGTGAGATTAATAAGCAGTATTTGTTGACACAACTGGATGTTAAACATATGCATGTTATATATAAATTGTTTATGACGAATTATATATAACGATTTTTCAAATTGTGTTGAATGTACTTACGAGATCTTTTTCTTTCAACAGAAGAATAATGTAGCGTTTGTGGTGTTCAAGAAAGCCAAGCATCTTAAGCGAGTGTTGGAACTCAGCCTTGAGAGAGGCAGCAGCAGCTCATCACTCCAGCCCAGAGTAAGTTGATGTGTGTTGCAGAGATGTAAGAGATGCACATCACTCCAGTCCAGAGTAAGTTTATGTTTGTTGCAGAGACGGAAGATACGCACATCACTCCAGTCCAGAGTAAGTTTATGTTTGTTGCAGAGACGGAAGATACGCACATCACTCCAGCCCAGAGTAAGTTGATGTTTGTTGCAGAGACGGAAGATACGCACATCACTCCAGTCCAGAGTAAGTTTATGTTTGTTGCAGAGACGGAAGATACGCACATCACTCCAGTCCAGAGTAAGTTTATGTTTGTTGCAGAGACGGAAGATACGCACATCACTCCAGCCCAGAGTAAGTTGATGTTTGTTGCAGAGACGGAAGTTACGCACATCACTCTAGCCCAGAGTAAGTTGATGTCCGTCGCATAGATGGAAGAGACTCCCATCGCTCTAGCCTAGAGTAATTTGATGTTTGTTGCAGAGACGGAAGAGACTCTCATCACTCCAGCCCGGGGTAAGTGACAAGTTCGTGTTTCCCATACTGCGGTATTTTAATTACTGCCTCACTAGTTGTAGAGGAAACAACGATTCTATCAAAGGATAGCTAATCTTCGACTGTTTGTTGGGGTTAGAATTTTTGGGTCCATTCATAACAAAAATTGTTTAAACTTGACATGTCAAGTTGTTGCTCTGCTCTGATAATATTTTTTCTAGATATCGATGTAGGGAGTCGTCCACTGCCAAGGATAATTCCTTAAAATTATGTTCGTGTTACATAGTATCTGATTTTCTTCAGAAATGGCGGAGGAGTGTAAGTGGAGGATGGATGTCGTGGCGGCAGAAGAAGAGAATAACGCGCTTATGGCAGAGCTCACCGAGAAGTACAATTTAGCGCAGCTTCAGAAAGAGCAACAAAACGAAGAAGACGAAGGCTGGACGACCGTCACAAAAGCGTGAGTCGTGCGTTGTCATTCATCTTCGAGGTCTTTGTTATTAGGCCTTTGCCATCAAGAACATATAATATCAAACTAGTTACTACAGGGTCCGCCATATTTATGGCAACGCATGTTTTTTGTTGTTTGTCAATGAAACAAACAGGTGCATTGTTTTTTTAATTGGATGAGCTAGTTGCCAAGAATTACCTAAACAATTCTCAGTCATTTATTCAATATGACCACCCTTATTTTTAATAACGGCCTCCAATCTACGCGGGAAAGCTTCACTGGAGACACGCAACATTTCTTGAGGGATCAAGTCCCATTCTCGTGTCAATTTAGACTTCAAATTACCCAAAGAATCATTAGGTGTTCTGCAGACCCTACTCTCTAAAATAGCCCACACAGAAAAGTCGAGAGGATTCAAATCAGGGCTTTTTGAGGGCCATTCATTTTTGCTAATGAACGCTGGGATGTGACCCTGAATCCAGTTTTGGGTCATGTTTGAGCCATGTGATGGTGCAGAGTCTTGTTGAAAACTCCATGGTGAGCCGTTGAAGTGTTTACGGGCCCAAGGTAACAACACAGCTTCCAAAATGTCCGTAATGTATCGCTGACTGTTCAATTTCACTCATGAGGGGACAAAAACCAGTGGGGACCTCCAAGTGGCGGTTACCGCGGCCCAAACCATCACGGACATGGGATTTTGATGTCGTGTTGCTGTTCTGGTTGCCACAAATCCATCCCGAATCCAAACTCTGTCATTTTAACGGTTAACGCTTTGTTCAATGTCAAATTTTTTCTCGTCACTGAACACCAAGTTGGGCAGCGTGCTATCCTCGATGAGATCCAGAATGTGCTGGCATCTTTCGAGCCTCATTCGTTCATGTCGGTCTGTTAGTTCATGCCATGTTTGCATCTTGTAAGGGGAGGTTTTGAGGTCATCTTTGAGGACTCTACGCATTGATGTCTGACTGACTCCTGCTTCTGCAGCCAATTTGCAGCTGAGCGACGAGGGTTTCTTCTCAACTTCTCCCTCGTGTTTTTGACCAATTGTTTTGTTCGGACACTTCGTTTCCTTTCTTGACCAGGTCGATTGCATGTTTCACCAGTTTCCTTGCATTTTTTTACCATCTTCCACACAGTTTCACGACGAAGTTGGAGCTTTTTTGCAATGACTGAATTACTCTCGCCCTTTTCATGAAGGGTTACAATTCCATTTCTATCTACTGCAATAAGTAATAGTAAATTTAGACACCTAAGACTTCTGCAATATTAAGTAGATGAATTGATAGATGATATTATGCTTCATTATAAAATAAAAGTCTCCTAGAAACCAATTTATTTTATATAGCAAACATCCGTTGCCATAAATATGGCGGACCCTGTAGTTCGTCCGGCAATCGCAGACGTCTTTTTCAGCTAAAGCCACCAATTTTAAACAAGATGTCGGACACTACGGGTAATTTTGCCGCTACGTTTACTTTACGAGTTTTGGCAGTGCGGTGCCTGGAGCTGTGGGGCTTGGTTAGTTTGGTCACTATTTTACGGGGCGATTCAAACGTGGCTTAAGGCATTGGTGTGATACCGTACCACAGCAATTTAATTCAATATATTTTACAAATATTTATTTCATCTCAAGTTGTGTTTTTGAATAAGGATTATTATCACTTCCATGAGTTTCAAGAGTTTACAGGTTTCTTTTTATTTTTCATTTTGCTGAAAGTTGTCATGAGTTAATTTAATTTATAACTTTTATTTGTTTGAAGTGTTCTCCTTTATTCAGATGTAGCGACTTCATTTACGTTATGTTTTAGCATACCGCGCTTCATTTTTGTTTGCTTTATATCGTACCTGCAAATAATATTTATTTAATTTATATTTTTGTACATCTCACTGCAGTTTTAAGAAGAAAATAGCGCCTGGAGCGATCCAAAAGAAAACCACAAAACGTGCACGAGCGAAGCAGAGAAAAATGGAGCTGGTCAACTTCTACTCCTTCCAGCACCGCGATCGCAAGAAGCAACGTAAGCAGCACATGTTCAGATCACATTTATTTCCCAAACAAATGAGCTACAATATAATTATTATATTTACAGAATTATATGTAATCATATCCTTTCAATTCCCTGTTTAACTTATAATATTACTCTACATTTATTTTCAGTATTGAGTTCGATACTTGTTTATTATAGGAATGTTCTTTTCGTTAAGTACTTTTTCTTTGCATTTTTGCTTTTCTCCAATGAACGTATTTAGGACTTATTTACAACATAGTTAGTAGGTATATCATTAGTCTGCTTAAATCGAAAGTTCACCCAAATTTAAAAGCAAAGAAAACACCCAATAAAATCACCTTATCTTCAAAGTAAACATTTCGGAGACCGGGCCCATCATCAGTTCAAAAAATGTATTGAAAAAAAATTAATCTTTTGCATTATTTTTTTCGTTTCAATCTGATTGCATATACTATAATTTATTTTGAACCGATGATGGAGGTGGTCTCCGAAACGTTTTCATTGCAGATGTGGTGAATTTGCTTGGCTTTTTATATGTAGAACAGTTTTGAAGTTCATTACATACTTGGCTACTTTTTATCCTCTTCAGAATGGGAGAACCTGCGACGACAATACGAGCAAGCCAAGGAATCCTTCGAGAAAGCGCGGCAAGGTCGAAAATTCAAGCCTTTATGATGTTGCTTCAATTTTTAATTTATCTTCCAATTAAAATACTGCGCGTGCCACGGAGTTTTTCTCACCTCGCTCCTGGTCGAGCCTGGTGTCGATCTCTCTAGTCTGATGGAGCACTCCATGCTTGTCGAGCTCTCTAGTGTGATGGAGCACTCCATGCTTGTCGAGCTCTCTAGTCTGATGGAGCACTCCATGCTTGTCGAGCTCTCTAGTCTGATGGAGCACTCCATGCTTGTCGGGCCTGGAGTCGAGCTCTCTAGTCTGGTCGAGCACTCCATGCTTGTCGAGCCTGGTGTCGAGCTCTCTAGTCTGATGGAGCACTCCATGCTTGTCTAGCTTGGAGTCGAGCTCTCTAGTCTGATGGAGCACTCCATGCTTGTCTTGCCTGGTGTCGAGCTCTCTAGTCTGATGGAGCACTCCATGCTTGTCTAGCTTGGAGTCGAGCTCTCTAGTCTGATGGAGCACTCCATGCTTGTCGAGCCTGGTGTCGAGCTCTCTAGTCTGATGGAGCACTCCATGCTGTGGAGCCTGGAGTCGAGCTCTCTAGTCTGATGGAGCACTCCATGCTTGTCTTGCCTGGTGTCGAGCTCTTTAGTCTGGTCGAGCAATCCAATCTGGTCGGCCTGGTGTCGAGCTTTCGTGTTTTGTCGAGCCGTCGTATGAGGCCGTTTTGCGTTTATCATAGTTTAGTACACAACGATATTATTTATTCATCAAGCTGAATGCTGTACCCTTCTTTAATTAGTGTGATTGACTACTTGACGTTGAAATTCGGTTCTATTCTGTTCTGAAACCAATACCGATAAAAGCTTCACTCAGAAACCGAATCAGAACTGCTAGCAACAATGTCAGAACCTGCTTTTGACAGACTTTGATGCAGTTCTTCATAGTTTTAAGATTGGCGCTGTTTTTTTTATCGAATTTATTGTTTCGCTTCAGGACCTTGAATGTTAATAATTGAATTGAGTTGCGTTAGTTCACATAGAATTTAGGCATAGCTATGTTCTGCAAGGAAGAATAATTATGAGGGATTCAGGATCTCGAGAAAGAGGAACTCGTTTATACTTCACGCGGCAGATGTAGACCCGAAGATCGTTTGTTATTGCACAGCGCTGACACATATTACTGCGTGTTACCCATTCTTGAGGCACTTCTGAGTACGGTGTACTAAAAGACTGAAGACAATACGCACAGTTTGTTCGTTATTGTCAGAACAAGAGATACGCACTAGACGCTGAGCAGAGCATTTGTGAAGCCTCCGTTAAATAAGGAGATAACGGTCAGCGAGTATACGGCTGCTCTTCAGCGTGAGAAGACTTCACCACTCGTGCATTGTGCGTCTAGCCTCCCCATGTGCTCAGCATGAACACAAGCCGGGCGTTTTGGAACTACATATTCATTTTAATTACTGCACTGGACAAATGAAATTATAAATGACCAACATTGAGCACTCGCTCAGAGAGCCTCAATTATTGTGCGGTGCTACTAAATCGTGTGTGTGGTCGTCTGTGGCTCTATATACTATTGTTTATTTCGGTATTCGGACTTGCCACTCGAGTATTGAAGAACAACGTGCCTGGAAAATGAGCTTTGTCTGTTGTATACGAAATACCGTTCTCCGGTAATACGTGAACATATGTGTGTTGCATTTTATTTAATATTATTTGGATTTTAGGTTGGTTAGTTTACTCCACTATAAATAGGATTTAATGATGCATTGATTGCACACAATTGCTTTTTGGAGTTAGTATTAACCAAATTGTATAGAAATCCATCTCGCTCCTGGAGAAATGGTTAAATGACATATCTACGATGGTGATCGAAATGAATCTTATTAAAAGATGACTGACGGTTCATGACGAAATTTAATTCTGATAGTACGAATGAAAAATAATTTTAACGAATGAGTAGATCCGACTAAATTTACCGCATTAGAGGAATGTACACCGTTGAAACGTATTCCTAGTTTGTTCTCGTTATGAATCTGAATTCAAATATCCAGAGATGGAACGATGTAACGCAAGATTTCTTGCGCCATCCGCTATAAATATTGGTCGCACCGACTTTCTACGGAAAGGATCTTTAATAACTCCTAGCACAAATGAGAACAATTTATTGCTTCCTGAAGTGTTTCTCGTCGAACAAACTATTCAAGTTGGTGCAGTTTTGATCCATTGAAACGTTGCCGACATTTTAACGATGCGCTCTCAGAGCTGTGAATGATTTTCACACCTCGGCTGTGCAAGGAAGTGCCGTCTCGAAATATTCACGTAAGTTCGAATTTTTCTCCTCGCTTGAAAGGTTTCGACATGATTTCTTCGTGCGCACTATGAACAGTCGTACGATCTTCTCTCAATACAGCGAGGATTTGGGTCATTATTTCAGCTCGTGCGCAAGAATTTTGTATTACTTCCTTCAGAAGTTTTTTGTTGTATTGCTGAAAAAATCTCAAAAAATCTGTTTGCATTCTTGCCTTTTTCAATAAGTTTTAAAAATATGTCTTCGACAAGCGTTATAAGGCTGATTTTTCTATCTAATTTCATTTTTTGTGATGAATAATGCAGTGCTGATCCTAGATTCAACTGAATATTGCAGTTACTCTTGATGTATGTTGAAATGCGTCATAAATTAATTTATATTTTTTCAAAATGTTCAATCAGTTTTACTTCGGATTTTTGACTCTTTATATTGCCGGCACACAAGTTTCCTTCGCAAGCCTTAATAAAATTTCATCTCACTTCCGTTCAGTAACTTCAATCGACTCAAGAATGTCGGGATTTCAACAAGGCTGGACTGCTCACGCACTCATCTTCGTTGCGCGCCCATATATTTAATAGACACACGAGATTTTGGACGATGTTGTCTCATGATTTTAGCCGTTCATTTCCATGGCTGTGTCTTTCATATTCATAAAGTGGAGTCCTTGTCTGGAAAAGAAAATATGATCAGTGTTGTCGTCCATGTTTCCAGCAACACGCGGCACCGGCTCTTCAACGGACCAGCTTCTGTCGCTGCATCAAATCCGTATTTCTTGAGGATCCTTTGCATTTCTTAACTACACCGTAAGAGTTTTTCCCTGCCGTACTTGAAGCCATTCTTGCACATCACATGGGAGTGAAGTGCAAGTGCTCTTCGCAAAAGAAAACTGGGCGAGAGTGTGGAGAGCGCTTGAGAGGAGTTCTCGAGGGCCCTTCTCTTGGAATCTGTGCTCGTTTGATGCATTTGAGCGCCGTAAGTTGCGTGAGTGGCAGGCAGACTGAGGCCAGCGCATCTAAAATATCCAACATGCAAACACGTCCGCCCCAACATGTTTAAATATAATTCTGGGTTAATCTTATGTTCGCTGTAGACTGTAGTGAACGACAGGCTAGTAGCTGCGTACAATGACGGAGTTTAGCCTTGCTGGCTGCATGGCAATAATTATTTGTTTAATTGTTCCCTATCGAAAATACCTATAACGAAGTAACGAGTGATTAAAATGATGTTTTTGAATATTTTCAACATAACGGAAATGCGACCTCTAGTCCACTGAAAGTATCCCTGCCTGAAAATATTTTCTATAGTAAGGCCCAATTTGCATCTTAAAAATTCTATCCACTTTCATACAACACAAAAGCATTATGCTTACAATCGCACTCATTTTTGCTCGAGAACAAAATATTATAATGCAAATTACAATTTATAAATTTTCTACGGCAAATTTGATTCATGAAGCGACCCTTGACGGTATGTGCGCACAGCGGCGCGTGGCAGTGGAGGAGGCGCAATTGGAAGCTGGCGCAAGTTACACCAGAAGTTAGCGGTCATGTTTCTCGTCTAACTTATGTTGACTGCTTCCTAATGAGGGCGTGAGCTGAGTCTGGACGTGCTGTGCAAACGCTGAGTTCAATGATAACAGCAATTTTAGCACTTGAGTTGTTAACAATAAAATTCGCATCAATCATGCATAATGACGCGTAAGGTTTGTTTTAATAGATAGATAATCATTGCAGTTGAAAACCGAATTCTAGAAAATATTGAAGGATTTTTCTGAAAGTGTATTTATTGCTGCAACTCTAATGTAATTCAATATTCGATGCAAAGTGCGTGACTAGAGCAGTTATTAGCCAAATCGATAGTCACTCATGAAGGGCCAAATATAAATAATTTGCGAAACAAATATTATTTTGAGACTCACACAATCAATATTTTTTCTTGATCCTAATAAATAGCTTAATTGAGAGCTTAGCTTGAAGTGATCAAGTTACGGAGGAACAATCAAGATCCTAGACAGCTTGGACGTTGGTATAGAAGCCATCACTTTCGTTCATATAAATGCTCGTTATGTAGGAGCACGAGCCTGCACAAAGCGTCTCGCACGAGAACGCCTTTTCTCTCACATTCCTTGGTATAAAAGACGACAATTTCCGGAATTTGAGCGAACTCCCACTGAGATCATTCAATAGCCGACGAAGCTGCACATAAACACCAATTCATCCAATTGATCAGCGGATCGGGTGACAGCCACGCGTTGCCTTCCTGCCTCGCATGCGCGGATCGCGATCGCGATCTCGACCAACGGCAGGCGGTTCATTTCATGAGATCATCAACAGCAAGGAGATATTTCAGATTAGTAAGAAGCTAAGGTTAGCAAAGACCAGGCAAAATATTGTATGATTGATCTTCGATTGAGTTCTTTAGGTGTTGGTTTGACATAAAAGAGAAGTTAGATGTGTTATCGCGTGATCTTTTATGTGACATCATTGGATTTGATTTTTTGAATTGATTTTTTCAGGAAATTAAAATTCTACTTAAAAGGGTAGGCTTTCATCAAAACATCTATTGGTTGCCTAATTATCAGCAGCAGCAATATTTGGAGATACGAATGATACGATCAAGAGTCAAAATAAAAAACGTCTGAAGTAATTAAGTACTAGACCGTACAAGGCATCAGATCGCATATGTTCGTACATGCTTGATGACATCAAACCGTACCAGCCTGCAAAAGATCTCATCAATCCCTAGAAGTGATAGTGTGACCGAATAAGTCCATACCCGGCACCGCTTATTC